TCAGAAGATGAACGTTCCAAACTCAAAGATCATTTTGATATTGTAGCCAGAAATTGTACAGATGTGATCTTGAATTTAATTAAAAGTTTAAAACCGACCGAAACTCGAGCTTCTTTTTTGGAAACGTCAGAGAAATACATTTTCAATTACTCCAGCATTATCTCTTGGTCCTAAATTTTGTAGTACGTCTATTAACATTAATGAACTCAACGCTAAAATCTAGCTTGAAAGCCTCATTCGTCAGACAAATTACCTTATTACAGTACTTGACAAAGATCATGAGCATTTCAAAACAACTCTCGTGGACTGTTGTAATCAATATGTAAACACAATACCTATAACCGATTACTCCCAAAACAGCATAAATCTCAATTATCTGATCTTCGGAGAAACCAGGTTTTAGTGTTGTGTTACCCAAACAAGAGTACAGGAAGTATTTTTATGGATCGACTTGACTATGTCACCAAACTATCTTCGATATTGTCTGATCTTGTCGAATTCTCCAAAGAAACCATTCAAAAAGATGCAACTGAGAAAACGGAATAGATGCTTATTAAAATTCTAAGGAAGATGAAAGATAAGTTTATTATCAATTGTCGACTTCTGGTGGAGACCCGTAGTTTGATTTCGTCCTCAGTTAGATCGGCGATATTCGTTGAAGGGCTCACCATTTTAGCGGCCCGTGGATCTGACTACTATTTCGAGCGTATAAATGTTTGCTATCGCCTATTCTCGTGTATAATCGTCGACTTAAATCGCGACAGTCAATAACGGAATTAAATAAGTCGAATAACGAGAATTGACTTGAGAATACATATATTTTGAATATGAAGCGAATAAAACATAACAAAGCAAAATGACACGCAGGGAAGATGGCTGGGAAGCCAACTCTATTTTTAGTCAAGCGTTACTCAACCTTTATAGTCAGACAAAAATAAACTACAGACATGTGATTAATGGAATAAAAAGGGCACACACATATACGCTCATATAAAAACAGTCTAGATTGATAAGCGAATAAATAACAAGGTCAAATTATGGCTCAAGTAGAATGAATAGAATGGTATGTCCGAAATCTAGAATAAGGTGTATGGGCTTAGCATAATAACTGACACTACAGACTCTATGAACGTCTTAGACCGTTGGGTTCCCTTATACCGAAACTATACGGACTCCCGAAATTTCATAAGAAGAATGTTCCCCTACGTCCTATACTTGATATGAACAACTCTCCGTACCACCTGATTGCTATTTGGTTAGCTGATATTTTAAAACCCGTTTGAAATCACACCAATAGATACGACTCTCTTGATTCCTTTAACTTTGTCGACTCAATAAGAAATATCAATGTAAATAGTTGAAAAGTGATCTCATTGGATCTCACTTCTTTATAAATGTTCCTCTCATAGAAACTATATGTTTTTATGTGACTATATTGAAAATAATAACCTTGATATTTATATCCCAAAAAATTATGTAAAAGAGCTACTTATACGATGTACTCTCAATGTGTGATTCAGATTCAACTACTATCTCTGTAGACTAACAAATGAAGTTGCAATGGGTTCTCCATTGTGTCCCCTCTTGGCTTATCGTCTCATGGCCAATCTGAAAAATATGTTTCTTCGGTCACCAATTGAGGGTTTCATTTATATAAGAGATTTATGGATGATACTTTCATTATTTGTGAAGGAGATACGGACCTCGATAAAATTTTGAATCGTTTCAGTAATTGTCACCCCTCAATTCAGTTCACATTGAAGGCAGAGGCAAACAAGGAATTTCATTTTCTTGATGTCCAATTGAAAAGAAGGTCAGAAGGTTTTTCCCAGAGATCTATACATAGAAAACTGACATGGAATGGTCAGTACACGAAATTCCATATCTGGGTCCCACTGAGTAGAAAGAGGAACTTAATTCACTCTTTATCCTCAAGGATCAGGCGAGTATGTTCTGCTGACAAAATGGATAATGAACTACTTCAACTTAGCTATTATTACCTTTAAACAATTTTTATTGATTATTATTCAGTTTTTCTACTGTCTATTTTCCTTCATATATGTCAGTTAGGCAATTATTTTCAATCGGGTTTTTTGGAGATTCTAGTAACTTAATAGTTGAATTCATGTGTCAATTAGAGCTAGGCCACTATGGATAACCTGGAAGCAGTTGACGGCTATTTCGTCCTAGATGGCTGAGGTTACACAGTAACACCATTCGATGCCGGCTCAGTGGTCTAGAGGTTAAGCGCTCACATGCGAGACTGACAGGTCCTAGGTTCGGATCCTGCAGGCGGGATCGGGGATGCGCACTCCTGAGGAGTCCCATACTTGGACGAATCGGCCGTCCTATGCTTCCAGATTTTCCATGGTGGTCTAGTTTCAATTGACTGGTGAATTCAACTACTAAATTAGACAATAATCTTTCATAGTTCAATCCCGTTAATTATTTACAGCCGTCTATTCTTCTCTTACCCCTTGATTATTGCGTAATCTCATTTGATAATAAGAGTCCTAAATCAATTTATGATTCAATATTTTCTATTCTTCAACGGACATATATTTATCATAGAACTATAAATGTGAATGTGAAGCTTAATTAAATGATTTCATCGAAAAGAAGATTTTCTTCGCTGAGTTCTCTCTAACTTTATTCAATGACACAATGGCTTATTTTAATAAATCTTTGTTTCATTAAAAAAAAACAAATGATATTATTCTTAGGGCCTTTGAAGAATGATACATATATTCGTTTTCCATATAAACAACAAACCATCCAGCTGAGATAAAGCAATTAAGATAGAATATTGTGATTTGCTCATCATTTTATACGTTTCAGAAGGATCTTAAACTTACATAAACTCTTCGATTCTTCTATGATTACAGCAAAAGTCATTTTATTGGTTTACAGTCTCTGTATAATTATTGTTTCATCTCCGAGTTTCTGAATTCCATCTTTTAATGACTTCATACAATCTTATTTGCATATATGTATACATATAGTTATGATTGATAATAATTATTATCCCAATTCTTCCCGTCATCAGCGTCTATTACTCCATATTATGTCATTATCTTAATATCACACGAATACGTTTTTAAGTATCTGCCGAGAAACCGCGAAATAAGATTAATTTATATTCTTCTGCCTCAACTGATATTTTGGCTTTATTCAAATCGAACGCCAAAAAGTTCATTTCAGCAATTATATTCCTAATAAATAAGCTGATTTTTCAATGGTTATGTCATTATTTGTATTTAATGAAACTAGCAGTTTCAAAACGTGAAAGATCCATAAAAATTGTTTTTGTAATATATTCAAATATACTTTTTGAATATGTTCAAATCTTCTACGCCAATATCGAGGAAGATGTCAAATGAGGAACAAATAGATCATTATTAACGATAACTTAACTAATCATCTTATGATTTAATACTAAACGAATCTGAAATAGAGATTAATCACAAACAGAGAAATACCATTTTCACGCATTTTTGTGTCCTATGTTATAAATATAAATACTATTTAGTAATACTTAAATTGCATATTGTTAATGTTGTTAACTTTATCGTTAATGTTATGCTTCTATTCAGTAATTTTTTTAGAATTTTTTCACATAAATTAGTAACCTTAACAAAAATTGTGACTAGGAATCCAAAAAAATATACTAATTCGTCAAAACTTCAGTAATACGATAAACCCCTTTTAGAAATCTGGATAGTGTAATGTGAGAGTGTAGCTGGGTTGAAAAATGTGATGTATATACACCATGAATTTTAGAGAATTTGTATCGCCAGAATGTTCAAAATGTATTACACAAATGCTTTACATCTTTCAGATTAACAATGTTTTCCTTTTGCACTATCGAAACTTTAATAATATTTTAACTATTAATTCCATCATAATAAAATCTATAACCCAATGACAATTTATATTGGCTTACATTTCACTATTTCCGAAAACCTCAAATGGATTTCATTACTCATAATGCTTTTTGTAATTATGGAATCAGTTTTTTTAATTATGGAACGATAAACAGTTTTGTTGTGGTCAATCAATAACTCCTTAACTAAATACTTTTGGTAAATACTCTGGAGTCGGTTTCCTAAGCTCATGTTATAACACTAGCCTAACTCTACACCGCAACTTGAACACGAGAGAAAAAACACGATATATTTAGAAAAAACGCTTTATTCTAGGGATATTTTCTGTACAGAACATTGAAGAAATTTATAGAATTTCAGATGGTCTTGGGCTTCTGGAAATTTCTTGAACCCCACTAAACATGGTAGCAGGATAGGTAATTATCCAGTCAGAAACGTGACACGTGACTATTCACTTTCTAGATGTTTTTTAGTCTCTTCCATTTAAATTTTTCCCAGCATTTTAGAGCCCCTATGGGCATTTTTAGAGGAATTTTTCGGGTCTTCATAGAACCTTCCTACTTTCGAAAATAAGAATTTTTGTTCGGGACAGCTTACAACTTGGCAGCGTATCAAGAGGATATAAGGTTAGGGTATGTTGTTGTATATCCACTACGCTGACTACTGTTGGGATTCGTTTCATGACGAACAGATACGTTATCTGATAAGAATACATCGCATCTAGCAAAACAACGTTTTAGATACTGTTCATAACACGTCCTCTGACCTAGATAATTTAGTCGTAGGCTTTCATTGCTTTTCTGGATGACATCAAGAAAAAGCTTTAGGTAAAGCTGAGGTGTGAGAATTCCTGTACAACTAACTAGCGATTTGTTTCGTCAACATTTAAACATTCAAGCTTTTCTGGGTAGAAACATCAATTAGTTAACCTTTTGGTTACCAGTGGTTTTCGAGTAACAAATAACTGAAGACATTTTTTAATTGAACCCATGATTCAGAATAGCCTTATATTAGATTAGATTATAAAACCGATTTGAGTAATTGTACTCAGTTTCACGAAATAACGTTATTGTGTTAAGAGTGGGAATTATGAACCCTTAAGGTCATTAGCTTCGAATGCCAAGGCCGAAGAAGCCAAATCGACTCCCTTTAGAGTTTATCAATGTACCTTTTTCCAAACCGAAAGGCGAGACTGTATATAAAACATGTTCCGAAGTTTATCCGGAAGTAAAAAGAGCGCCTACTAATGATGCCTACTTTTGGGTTAGTCAAATCTCTTGAATATAAAGATTCTTTTTTATTATAGTTTGAACCATGCTTTAAGACTGTAAAAGTTGAAAAGAAGCGACCAATAAGTAGGAGTACTTCGAGTCCCCGTCAACATTTACCAGAGTTACAGTTTTTATTAAATGGGCCAATTCCGATTAATGTACGTTTCCTTTTAGTTTTTGAAATTAATCATTAAATTACTTCAAAGAAAGTTTACTGATAGTTATGTTGTATTATCAATGAGCTGTAACAACTTTTTAGATTCGGATTTGTGTATTAATGATAGTCAGCCTAGAGCTTGTTCGTACTTTTCTAGCAAGCTTCTGAGCAAGCCGGTTAAAAGTGCAGACACCACTTCTTCTGGTAACAGGTAACAGGTTTTGATGACTCGGTGTAAAAACTTGTATACCATGTGTATCTTTTCGTTCTTGACTTGTACCACCTTACTACGTCTTAAGTTATCCTGATCTAGTAGGAATAAAGGGATATATGAGATCCAGAATCACTTCTCAATATTCTATACATCAAAATCAGATCATCTCTTAATTTGCGGTAGAACAGTGATGAGGTCTAACTTCTCAAGCCGCTGTGTATGGTGAACCCTGTAGTTCTGTAATCGCAAGAGTAGCTGCTCTTAATACCCTTTCCGAGTTATTCGAGCCACCTTTTAAATAGGGGCTATCAGCCTGAATCCAGTTTTCAGTTCTGGATCTCACTGAGATTGTATATACTGTAGTAAACATATTAGTGCACAACTTGGTAGATATTTGTTTTGAAACCCATAGGATTCTGAATCCTTTTGCAACCGCGGGGCAGTAAACCATGATCTTTAGATCATGGCTCACTTTTACCACAAGATCATTGCGAGACCAGACGATAGGCATTGACTCCCTATGTTCTACGTATTTAACTTTGTGTCCCTTATGTGTGTGAACACACTTGACCGCGCTGATAGGTATCAGCCATGTTTTGGATTACCTAACCAGAATTTCAAAACTGCCTCAAGTACATATGCTTGTGTTCGTGTTATTTCTCGCCAAATTTCTACATCGTCAGAGCAGTGGAGCATTGGGAACCCAGCTATGCTTGAAAGCTGACGTACACAGTATAAAATGTAAAGAACCTAGGACAGAGCCTTTCAATATTGCACTGTGTACTGGTTCTCAGGAGGAGAATTTAGAATTTATTCTTAATTACTTTTTGTTTTCGACCTACCAAGAAACCTTGAACTCACTTTAGGAGAGTTCAGGGAATTCCTAGGTTGTCCAGCTCCAAGAGTAGTATAATTTTCGGGACCTCACCAGTTCTTTGCTGAAGTCTGTGTAGACAGCAGTAACTGATTTTCCAATATCTAGAAACTGTCCATTTCTCTATTGCTATAAGGTTTGTTGTGCACGATAATCCTTTTCTGGAACCATGTTGTTCGCCGTTTAGCAAGCTGCTGGTTGGCCGAGTATAAAATCTCTATTTGGTATTGCATAAGGTTCTTGGGTGAGCCACTCGAGTTTTTGCTCGTACAAACAAGCTTATTTCATCCATTTTTCATATTTATGGGATACGAATAATCTGTTCATGGGTAATAGGTTATTATCTAGACTTTTAAATACTTCCCGAATAATTTATATTTCGAATTCCGTAATCACAAGAATTATTGGAAGTATGAGCTCTATATATCTGGTATATTAATAAAATTGCTAATAGACAATCTAATTATTATTACATTTAGTGTTAAGACGATTTAAAATTAGCTGCAATCATCATAAGCTGACAAATATTGTTTGTGATTCTGGGAGTCAGCTTAGTTGCGGTTCTTCGGATCTTTTCCAACAACTCACCGTCTTTTTCTAAGGTAGGGGTTAGCTGTTTGTGTGCGATACTTGAGTTTATGACGAGTAAACATTATGCAAAGTCAAGAAGGTTTTAGCATTGACATGGCTAAAGGCACTCCATATTGATCATAGGGTTCTCGAACCTGAACGTGTCATAATCCCAAAGAAACTGCAGCCAACGGCTCTTGAACAGTTGCATGCAGGACATCCTGGAATAAATCGCATGAAAGCTCTAGCACGAAGTTATGTATACTGACCGCATTTAGACACTCAACTGAAGAAGCTAACCAGTTCGTGTACCAAATGCTCATTAACAACAAAAATACTGCGGAAGGCAGAGCTGCAATCATGGCCAATGCTACAGTCACTGTGGCAGTGTATACACTTTTACTTCGCTGATCCACATCATGGACAAACTTAACTTCTGGTAGTTGATGCATACAACAAGTGGCCAGAAAAAAGTGGAACATCCAACTGCGAGCTGCACATTCAAAAAACAACGTCAATTATTTCATCGTTTCGCGGTTTCATAACTAATAGTTGGCGACGATGGAATACAGTTGAATTCTGATATCTCCAGCAGAAGCTTTACTTGGCAGAAAAATAAGAGCACATTTTAATACCATTGGTCCAACACCAGATCTTGAGCCTCAACGAAACATCGATGGAGAAGCAATTCAATCAACATCATGGGGAACATAGACGACCGTTCACTGTGGGTCAAAACGTACTTGTTATTGACTATCGTGACAAACATCCTACGTGAATAGCTGGTTGAATCTCACAAAAGGAAGAAAGTGTGGTTTACGAAGTGTTAGTTGGCCCAGAAGTTTGAGTGAGTCATGCCAACCAACTGAAAGCAGCTTCAGTTGTCAGCAACGAGACCCGATGTAGAATACCTCTTGATGTTCTTCTGGACACCTTTCAAATTAAAACACCGAAGTACGGGCCAGTCTCTGTGCAAGCAAAGAGTAGTACCACTTTTTTATTGCCTAGAAGGTGGACAAATCAAAAGCACAGAGCAGTCATACGGTTGCAGGCGAACCATAACACCAGATCCCGCGAATCTGCTCAAAGGGGAGGTGTTAGTGGGATGTAGATTGGACTAAAGCGCGTTTGATACAGCGCTTGAGGATACTTAGAGACTCTAGAATCTTACGTAAAAATTATAAATACACTGAGTTTTTTCTTATTGTGATTCCTACTTCCATCCAACCGCGTTCTGATTTGAGGACTTGTTGAGTGAAGTACTGTCCAAGAGTACTAAGCAATAAGAGTCACTGGATTGTAATAAGAGAAGTCATAACAGGAGTCTGCTAAAACCAAGTGTTGAATTCTTTTAGCAAGACCTCATTCGCTTAATCGTTTGAACTTCATTAGACCAAACCGATCGACAGCTCTTATCTTTTACATTTCAAGCGGCAAATAACTAATTCGCACGTCCCATTTTCATGGGATATGTTATCAGTAACGGTAAATAGGATAGTGTTTCCAGTGAACAGAGATTCTCCTGCTCCTTTACACTTCTGGGTCGACTCTCACTAATGTGAAAGTTTCAAAATCAAGTTCCATATTGTCTGTAGACTGTGTCAGCCAAGTTTCTATGACTGCGTTAATATCCGCTTTGGTAGAGTATCTGTACATCTAGCTCGGATCGCTTATTGAGCAAGCTACGGGCATTTATGTAACAGATCCGAAGACCATTTAAATGGTCTCGTAATGCACCCAAAGTAGCTTTAGCATAGTTCCCTGTCAAAACTTTACCACCTGAAAGTTCACAATCTGAAGGTTCTTCGCTCCAGCATCTCACCTTAATTTTAGTTCTTTTTTGGCCTCTCGTCTTTTTATACAGTCCGCGTGCGTCAGGTTTTTACGGACAAAATCTCTTGACTCCTTTAGTTTATATGTATTCTGTAGTATTAAGTCTTTTTCATTGGGAGGTTTAAATACTAATTTTAGCAGTTTGTTTTGGTTCTGTTTCAAGTCCGTTTGGATACCTAATCTACAAACCTTCAGCAAGGTGACTCCAGAGACATCTTGATCCATTAGAGGCTTAAGTGCTAGTCAGTCAGTAACAACGTAGAACTTCGTACGTATGTACATCAGTTCTGATTGCCATACCACATTAGCACAGAGATGCAGTTGTCCATTCATATCCCGTAGTGGTAGAGGTAGTAAGAGTATAAGCAGTAATCGGAGAGATTAGGGTTTTAAGATGTTATTCAAGTAGTATAATACAGAGAAAAAAAGAAAAGGACATGAAGAATTCAGAAGATTAGAATTTGGGAGAACATAAGGAGTGGATGCACCTGCGCCATTGCAAACGATTTTGAGCCATGTCATTCAAGGTCTCTAACCATCGGCTGCTATCATCTCGCGGATCCCAACCATGTAGTCTACAACTACCAACATTACTCAGTCCACTTGTCAGTGACTTCATGGATTTGTGCCATGTTTTGGTCTGGCCGCCCCTAGCTTTCTTCCAACCTACTCCTATACCACTGAACATCGCACGTCGAGGCAGTCGGTTGTTGGGCATACCTAACACGTGTCCCAGCCATTTCAACTGATGAAGATTTACTACCTCATCAATTGATTTGCCATCCTTACCTAGTACCCGTTTCCTAACAACTGCATTACTTACTCAGTGGTCCCAGGATATACGAGCAATGTTTCGAATACACCTATGATCAATTACTAGTAACCTACGGATATCCTCTACTCTTACCGGCCATGTTTCACTGCCATAAAGTAGGACGGAACGAACTACTGCGCAGTAAACACGTCCTTTGGTTGATAGACGGATATCTCGCCTACACCATAAATGACGCAAGTTGGCAAAAGCTAGTCGAGCCTTCTGTATCCGTGCTGAGATTTCATCACACACCAGACCACAAGGGCTGATGAAACTCCCAAGATAAGTGAAGCAGTCGACATGCTCAACTACTTCACTCCCTATCATTAGTTCGGGTGTCGATGCAACCCAAGCTTAAAGTAACATTTTGCATTTCAAGGGGGAGAATCGCATGCTGAATATGCTTGCATTGTTGCTTAGAGTGGTCAGAATACTCTGCATTTTGTAAGCGTCTTCATCAAATAGAACTATGTCATCAGCATATTCTAAGTCAGCAAGTGAATCTCCTGGTAGGAGTTCAACCCCTGGAAATTGAACTTAAGTGTACCTTTTATTAACCCACTGTCAAGCTCAAAGCGAGTTCTAGGCCCAGAGATTTTGCCCTCCTTGACTCTATAAACGGTGACTGAGCTATCACTGTTATCAGCCTTCGATCTCCCAACTACTGTCAGGGAAACTAGCTTTTGTTCAACGTTTCTTATTCTTGATTTGTACTCATTCATCAGTTTTCACTGGAGGAGCAGTTACAGTTGCGTTACCCACAGTTTGAGGTTTTGAATGATTGTAGATGACTTGGGTGGTCCGGCTTTTGTTTTTCCTTCTAGAAATAGACCTAACCATATGACTGGGTTTTCTAGGTGTTTCGTTACTGCTACTACTTGGAGAACAGGGCACCAAAAAACCTCCTTTCTTGAGTTTTTCCTTCTGACAGACCTCTTTGTAGCCTTTCTTCCCTCCTACGGCCTATTTAAGTCAATCATTTCTGAGATTATTTGGGACAACTTCACATCGATTCGTGTATCGAAAGAGCGATTACCATTATATCCATATCGGTTGCGCTTGTTAATATACGTTTTAGCATCGTTCACCATAGCATTGGCTTCGAATAGCAACCTCTGAGCATCCGAGCAGCATTTCTGGCATAACCACACTCATCCATTTTTACTCAACCGCTTGAAAGCCGTGGGTGTTAGATTCGTGTAAACTTCATTGTTCCATCCTTTACCTTCATCACGCTGCATTCCATTTTCCACGGGTTATCGACAGCCTGGGCGTTGGCAGTTGCCTCTTTTGTGCTGTCGAGTCATCAGTCAAAGGTATTCAAATGACCTAGAAACAAAAAAAACGTTGAAACAAAAGCTGTTAACCAGAAAAAATGATCTGTTAAGTTCAAAAATGCAGCAAATAAGAAAAACGGATGTGCTCAATATAAGTGCAGATGCAAAATTACTTTTGTCAAGAACGATACTGTTGATGTTACGTTTACTGGAATTAATCCAATTTAAGTGAAAACAGTAGTCTTGATGCATAATAAACGATCAAAACGATAAATTTAACTCAGTGAGGGAAAATGCCACTTATTTTAAATAGTGCCCGTGAATCAATTAGGATTTTCCAGAAATTCGTCATATATCAATGAAGGGTACTTAACTTTTACCATTGTTGAAAATTTCTCTCATAAAGTACAACTAAAAATTGGCTATATTCACAGTTTTGGCGATTTATTATCCTTGTGAAGTGTCACCAATTGATATGATGAACAGGAATTTAACCTAACTGTCAGGTCTCGTTTCAGTGTAGAGTGAGAGACCTATAAAACCGATGTCCTCTATTTGCTTTTGATATCGAATCATGTTTATTTCCCTGTTAGCAGTTCGTATGTAAGTGTATGCCAGTTATCCAGTCCCCTGATCAGTTATCGCTTGGTCACACTGTATCATTGCGTTACACCTGTCGATCTGGATTTTACTTTATTTTCAGCAATTCGAATCTCCCTGATAAAAACATTAGATAACTTGCTCAAATTTATGTTTAAATATAATAAAAATAATAACAATAGTATTAATAATAAATTTATTCGTTTTCTGATGAATTCTTAATAGGTTCACGTAAGACTTATCCGTTTCTCATGAAACGGTTGTACATAGATCTAACATAGCATTTTGTTTCTTACTTTTTTGTTGGGTTGTGATCAACCAGACAAACGCAACGTAGAACCTGGTACGCATTTACATCGCTTCAAGTTGCCATATCCCATTACAACAGAGAAATGAAATTGCGTAGACAAATTCCAGTTTAGTAGACGTAGTAACTGTATTAGTGGTAATAGAAAAAAAAAGTTAGGTATCAAATATACGATTCAAGGAAATATTTTGGAGAATCCAGCTTAGAATCTGGGAGAAGACAAAGAATGGATGCACCTGCCATGTCATTCAAGGTCTCTAACCACTGGTTACGATAATCACGCAAACCCAAACCAGGTGCTGTACACCTATTAAAATGGTTCAAGTCATTTGTCTATGACTTCATGAACTGGTGCCATATTTTTGTCTGGCTGCCCACAGCTTTCTTATGGCCTACTCGTACACCAGACAACTCCCGTTGAGGTAGACAGTGGTTGAGAATATGTAACACTCGTCCCAACCACCTTATTTGATAAAGATTTACTAGCTCATTAGCCGACTTGCCATCTTTACCTAGTACCCTATTCCTTACACCAGAAATGTTTTGAAAACACCTACGAATATCCTCTCTTAATGGATATGTGGTCCTTTGTTTTTTATATTATAACATGATTATTCCGAAAAAATTTCCACATGCAATTATGATATCATTCAAATGTCTGTCAACACTACATAATAAAAAAAGCAATATTTTCAGTTTACTAGGTGAATGTCTCGGTATATATATAATATCCGTCTAGGGAAATTTATGTAGACACACGAACCGGAGTAATATCAGTTTAACTGAAACCATTGTTTTTAAAATAAGTTTGAAGTGATGTTGCCACTGAACATATTTATTTATTTCAACACATAGATATTGGTACAAGGAGGCACCAAATACAAATGTGCCACACAGATCTCATTTAATATGTGTAAAGGCTGTTATACTGTCCGAGTGCCCAAACCGAAGCAGGTGGTTTTCTTAGGGGGTCGCACCCGGAGCCGTCGACCTGAAGGCCTGATCCACAAGGCAGTGGAGCGACGTTAGGAGATGGATTCACATGGTAGCCGGTGACCAACGATTGGTTCATACGCAATTTGTTCCTTCAGGATACTGGAGCCCATGTGCACTATTAGTTTGGAATGAGGGTCTTCCAACTCCCCTATGTGGACTCTCCATGTCCACCAACCCGGTTAAAGCGCCGGTCATTCGCTTTTCGTCCTTTCAATTTAGTAAACAACACCGCTACGAGAAGGCAGTGAGTAGGACTTCCCTGGCAGAGGCTATATACGCGTGGCCATGTGAGAATTTCGAGAGGGAGAGCAGACTCTCCCTACTCGGCCGTACCAGGGCATTTGGGGGCCACTGAACTTACAAAATGGTTAATATAAGTTATGCAAAATCACGTATACTTAAGCTACTTTGCATATTGTATTTGCTAATCATCTTAACAGATATATTTCACGTAATTCTGTCTTAAACATAAAAGCCGATTAACAACTTTAAAATCCTAGTTGGCAGGCTGAGGATGATGTTCTGTCAACGTGTAAAATCGCTGGCTGTCGGTAGGTACAGATTTCTTGATTGAGGTCTCTTAATAGTCTCAGTCAAATGTCAAATACGTTGGATGACTTGGCTTAGAATCGGTTCCTAGTACTGCACCTGGATTCAGTTTCTGTATTCCAATATATTTCGAGTTGTATCATCGTATTCCTTCATTCATTGATCTGATTTACTCAATCTGAACCATGTTTCTGAATTCAACTTTTTATTTCGGGTCTTATTTCCCCTGCTGCTTTTCACTTTGTCCATTTTCTTTCTGAGGTGACGTAAGATGTGACATTTTGCATCAATACACATTCGTTTCAGGTCCTACGTCATCATTGACGGACTGTTCTCCTAATCTTACTATTTTACTACGTAGTTTTAAATATTAGTAATGTAAAAAGTATTTTTGTTGAAGTAGATTTACATCATCTGTTTTCTGATTTAATTGATTTCTCCCTGTTTAGTCGATATCTTCTCTCAAAAAACAGAAGTCCTGTCCCTTGTTCCCTTTGAAGTCGCCCGAAGTGCTTACTCGAAAAGTTGTTGTGTTAGTCGAAGAGACTCCTGAAAGTACTAATCGTATGACACGACGATATTCAAAGTGTGAGTTATCTATTGTAAGATTCCTATCTGTATTATGTTTAATAAGGAAAGGATAGACTTCCCTTCCTCACTTAGACGGTTATGGATTTTGGACTGATGGAAGTTAACCATTACAACTGATTATGAGTTTATGTATAAATAAGCTTGATTAGATTACGTTCTTAAAGTTATACTCATGTAATTTTTCTTTTAGATAATTCCACGGTTAACGCTTTGTCTGAACAATTATCTGAATGCACCGAAGATATGTTAAAGCTGACAATTAAAAAATAACATTTCATTTTATACATCTTTTTGATTTGGACATTTGCATAACTGTATGATCACCTGCCTTCTCACCTCATGTGCCCTTTTTTTAGATAAATAAATCATCTTTTTTCAAATTACGTCGTATTGATTTTGACTTTCTAAAAACTGTACTACTCGTAACAGTTTGGTTTCACTAATTAATTTCCTAGATTTGTTCGTGTTGCTTTGAAAGTGTTGTAGTGAACGACAATACGAGTGGTGACAATTGAATGTATTTAAACACAAACTTGCAGAACATCTTAGTAAAATCTGAGAACCATGTAGTAAATACTTAATTTGCAAAATGTCAGTCAATCGTCTCAGACGTCACTGTTCCTTCATTTCCACAGCAACCATTCTCTTTTCTTCGATCTTCTTAACCTTCTGCTGCCAGGTATTTCACTTTCGATTGATGATACATACTACTTGTATCTGTCGACATCAGAAGCACACACCACAGTACCACGTTCTCTCTTTCTGCATTGTAGCTGAATTGTCTTAGTTATGAAATCAGTCGATTTGATTAACTGCAGATTGAATCTTAGAGTTTCCGTTCAGCATATGTTTGTATTTCCGCTTGTATGATTTTGGTACACATTCAAAAATAGTTTCTGTCCAGTGATTTCAGTGTATCCGTGGTTATCATTGAGAATCATGGAATCAGTATTTTAGGTTATTTTCAGTGATGTATAGACTTCATAAAGTTATGGAATATGCTAATCAGGTGCTTAATTCCTTGGAAAACAAGCATATGGGATAGCAAGTTTCGCATTGTCACATCCTTCGTCCGTCTACTCACTTATATACAAAAGAGAATTTGTCTCAATCTAGTTTAAGGCTTTGACGCGGTAGGCTGTTTAGTACAATACTGAAGCTAGCAATGCGTGAGTCTGATTGTGATTGAATGGCTTTGAGGGCGAAGAAGAGAAAACTATCCTATCACCTTATATTCTGACAAGGAAGTTGGTTGGAATATATATATATATATATATATATATATATATATATATATATATATATATATATATATCCTTCTCTTGCAGCTTTTTCCTCCGTCGTTGCTAGTTCTTCCACGTATTTCTGCTTATTGGCTCTAATACTCTTCTTCACTTGTTTGTTTGCTTCTATGTATTCAGCTTGTGCTTAGACCTTCTCTGCTCGTGTTTGGCTGTTGTTAATTGCTGTCTTGTTCTTCCTTTCTTTAATCCTGTCCAGTGTTTCTATAGAGATCCATTCCTTATAATGATGCTTCTTGAGGCCCAGAACCTCTTGACATGTTGAAGTTAATGCTTCTTTGGTACCTTTCCAGTTGTCCTCCATAGTGGTTTCTTTTTCCTTCAGTAGATCCTGTAAGACTTGAAACCTGTTGTTGAGAGCTATCTTGAATTTGTTGAGTTTGTCAGTATCTCGAAGGAAGGCTGTATTGAACCTTTGAAGTGCTGTTTGTCCAGTTGTTCAGTTTTTCTTTAGCTTCAGTTTTAAATTGGCCACAACTAGGTGGTGATCTGAAGCTATGTCAGCTCCTCTTCTGGTTCTCACATCTCCCATTGTCCTTCGGAATTTTTTATTGATGCAGATATGATCTATCTGGTTCGCTGTGGTGTGGTCCGGTGAGATCCATGTAGCCTTGTGTATACGTTTGTGTGGAAATATTGTGCCGCCTATGACCAATTTGTTGAATGCACACAGATTTGCAAATCTCCCCATTTTCGTCCTCTCTTCCAGTCCATGTCGTCCCATGATATCTTCATATCCGGTGTTGTCTATTCCGACTTTGGCGTTTAGATCTCCCATCAGAATGGTGACGTCCTTTCTTGGGCACTTCTCTGTGACTGATTACAGCCGCTCGTAGAATCTATCTTCAATGTCGTCGTTGCTATCATTGGTGGGTGCATAACATTGAATAATATTCACTGTGATCCCCTCCTTCTTTGTTTTGAATGGTGCTTTGATGATTCTGGATCCCTGAGACTCCGATCTTACAAGTGCATTTCGTGCTACTTTGGACAGCATTAGAGCGACTCTCTGAGTGTGTGGAGCATTTTCCTCTTCGTGACCAGAGTATAGCAGCAAATATATATTTCTGATTCTTCATGAGAACCTTTTTTATCAGGAATAATTTGGAACTCATAATATTAAGAATAGCTAATAAGTAAATCAAATCCAGAGAAGAAAAGATGTCCAAGACAGTGTTCGATGTAATCTCACAGCTGTGTATTATAAGCGCACAGGACAAATAGAAGTAAATGACAGTTAATCATTAAATTTTTCAGTAATTGGAAAAGTTGTTCACCACACCCAAAATATCTTATATCTCCTTCAAAATTTTATATTTAACTATTGGTCTCTTCGCAAGTATGTAGAATTTTTTAGAGACTCAGAATTCACATTTATACAAGCCTTATCCATCTGAATATCGGCAGCCTGTTCCGACTCCTAGAGTACCTATTTCTTCGAACGTGCATTTATCGCCATAAATTTTCCTGTTTTAGATTCGTTTTAATTAAGTTATTGTTTATGTCTGCTAACCGGGTGTACTTAGGCATTCACGAAATGTTTACAACCTATAAGGAATTAAATTACTGAAAAAATCAAAAAGTGTCGTCTGGTGGTCCCCATATATTCTCTGTCATCTGCCCATTGCAGAAATGAGATGATTCCCATAGAATTCATAAATTACATATATTTAGCAATGAAAAAATTTTATGGTAGAGAAACTGGTCGTGAAGACCTGGGAATGAATATAGACGACAGCTGATTCTCACAAGTTAAATCGTTATTAAACTACAATCTTAATGCAATAATACATATTTTGAGCTGAAAAATCTTCAATACAATCAAACACATTGTATTAAATAAAGCGAGTATCATTAGAATTGTTAATTCAGAAGTGCTTACAGAATTAGGATGAATGGAAAAGTCAAAAGAATTAAAACTGGATTCGTCTACTTAACTTACGCCAACTATCTCTAGAGGATAATAATAAAAATGAACAACTCCGAAAGATCTAATCGCGCTAGTCATGATCTAAACCAAGCCATATGTAAGTGAATTTTGTGTATAATCATTTAATTGAGTTTTTCGTCAGTGAATGTTCATTCCGATACATTGTACACCGTTTAAGACTTGATTATTACTTGCACTGGACAGTCGAAAGAGAAATAGCACTACCATTATCGAATAGATAAAAGTATAGAAAAGTTATGAATGGGAATGAAAGAAACACCTTTTAGGATAATATCAGTGTTCATTTGGAGTGAGTGTAAAGCGCTGTAGCTTGCAACTCCAATCCACGAACACCACTCATCTACAACATTAATACTAAGCGTACATATCTTGCTTTAAAATGTCATGAAACAAGTAAGTACTTCTTTGTATGTCCAATAAACTATGGAAGGAATGAAGTGAATAATTACCATACATTAATTTTTAAGTTTGAGTTGATCCCCATAAAGTTACATTTCAGCTAAACATTTTGACTAATCGGTTAATTGATATTGATTGGTTCAGTGAAAAAAATAGGTTTTATCTATCCAAACTAATTACCAAGTGAAGTACATATAAAATCATATTCTTCAATTAACAGTGGTTTAAACAAAGCATGGTGGTTGTTAATTTCCTGTGACTTTCGTGCTTATTGACATTTTGTGATTCAATCTGTAAGTGTGTACCTATCTTGGGTACTGTATATGGAAGATAGCAATTTATTATTTCCTGGTTGTAACATAGAAAGTGAAATCATTCTTACTCATTTCATAAACATAGTTATGTTTTTAAGATTTCTTAACCAGTTTCAGTAAAGAGTTTATTACATATTCATATCTTAATTTCACTAAAATGCCGACAATAAAACGATATGACTATTGATTTTCACAATGTAGATCAAATGGCATACAAATTAATGCAAATTGAACATCAGAGGTTGAATGTAATGAAAGGTAATTTATTCATTTCAAAAATTATTTAAATGTATAGAGGAAAACTCTTAACAGTGGATTTTGTATTTGGTTTCTGAGTTGCAGGCGGGAGACGATTGTTTATTTCTTCTAAAAAATCTAATTCAAAACTAAAATTTATTTAAGATTTACAAATGAAAAGTCATTCATCATGTGATTATATTCAACAAATTCTGAAACTCATACTGTACTGGATCTACCTATTTAGACCAGTAGTATTTGCAATGCGATGGTAGCTTCAATAATTTACACTTCTTCCTAGCATTCCTTAAATATGTCATCAAAATCTTTATTGAAGAGCGCTAACAATATTTTAGTTCGTAGATGAACAGTAATGTAATTTATTTGACTAACAGTTTCAAATGTTAAATTTTTTAAAATTTATTTAGTAGTAAAGTTACTCAAGTTAGCTTTACAAGCTTTTCGTCCCACCACTTTTCATAATATATACTTGGACATTGTGTTCACACATGATATGATGTGTTCCGTGTCACTTGAACAAGTAACCAATTAGTTCTTATGAAGATTAAGATATAACCCCTAAAGGCAGTAAGGCTATGCTCATGGTTGATTGATATTACGTTGTTTCAGATTGGCTTTGATCGTTTGAAAATGAGAAAACTTCCACTCCAAACATGTACAGAAGCAGAAACCTATTGACCAGTGTTTTTCTCAGTATGATATTGTAGCGGTAAATAAATCCCCAATGGATGCTGACCATATGCTTTAGTGGACTCATCTAGCTGAGGGCACTCGGTCATGCATCCGCACCAGATCACGTGTGGTAACGCTGTGCTCAACATCTACCGCAATCGCTGGCCAGATTACATCAGAAGATTCAGATATATTGAAAATCGCCAAATACACTTCCGATCTCCTCAACTCTGTTGATTGATTTCTCTCGGTGGGTACAAATCATATTAGAAGGTGTTAATGGTAGATGCGTTGTCAAACACTGAATACCTGTGTCATCCTTCATTGGTCAGCCCGACGTTATCTGGTACACCGAATTGCAACTGTGAGTCTGTT